GAGGGTGTGGAGAAAAGGGGACTCTAGTACACTGCTGGTGGGAATGAAGACTGGTGCAGCCACTATGGAAAACACTATGGTGTTATCTCAAAAAATTAAAAATAGGAAAAAAAATTAAAAATGGAACTGCCATTTGACCCAGTGATCCCACTTCTCGGAATATATCTTAAGAAGCCTGAAACACCAATCAGAAAGAATATATACACCCCTATTTAAAATAGCCACAATCTGGAAACAGCCCAAGTGCCCATCAATAGATTAGTGGATAAAAAAGTTGTGGTACAGCCCTGGCTGGTTTGGCTCAGAGGTTAGAGCGTCGGCCTGCGGTCTCGAGAGACCCGGGTTCGGTTCCCGCTGAGGGCGTGTACCTCGGTTGCAGTTTGTCCCCGGCCCTGGTTGGTCGTGCGGGTGGCAGCCACTCGATGTGTCCCTTTCATGTCAATGTTTCTCTCTCTCTCCCCCTCCTCTCTCCCCTTCCCACTCTACCTGAACAAAAAATAGAAAAATGTCCTCAGGTGAGGATTAAAAAAAAAAAAAAAAAAGTTGTGGTACATGTACACAATGAAATACTATGCAGCTATAAGAAAGAGAGATTTCTTACTCTTTTAGACAACATGGAGAGACCTGGAAAGTATAATGCTAAGCGAAATAAGCCAGCCAGCCCGGCCAGTGTGGCTCAGTGGTTGAGCGGCCACTCATGCACCAAGAGGTCACTGGTTCAATTCCCGGTCAGGGCACATGCCCAGGATGTGGGCCCAATCCCCAGTGGGGGGCGTGCGGGAAGTGGCCAATTGATGTTTCTATCTCTCTCTCCCTTTTCCTTCCTCTCTGTCTAAAATCAATTTAAAAAAATTTTTTTTTAAAGAAATGGAAGCAAAGGAGTAAATGAGAGGAACCCACGAGAACACCAAACTGGGCTGTGCATTTTATCCCCTGAGTCTAGGACTCTGGATAACCCCCCCTTTGCTTTCTGCAGAGGTGCGTGAGCCAGTCCAACACGAATAGTTTCTCGTGTCCTCGCGGCAGGAGGGACCGCAGGGCAGCAAGTGTGTGCGGCGTGGGAAACGGCACGCACACTCGGACGTGAGGAAACAGGGTCTCCGTCGGTCTCTGTTCAACGCCTTGGCCACACGTTAGCACTTTGCACCAGCAATCCAGCCAATGTGACCTTCCACCAGCAATCCAGCCAATGTGACCTTCCACCAGCAATCCAGCCAATGTGACCTTCCACCAGCAACATCCAGCCAATGTGACCTTCCACCAGCAATCCAGCCAATGTGACCTTCCACCAGCAACATCCAGCCAATGTGACCTTCCACCAGCAATCCAGCCAATGTGACCTTCCACCAGCAATCCAGCCAATGTGACCTTCCACCAGCAATCCAGCCAATGTGACCTTCCACCAGCAATCCAGCCGATGTGACCTTCCACCAGCAATCCAGCCAATGTGACCAATCCACCGGCAACATCCAGCCGATGTGACCTTCCACCAGCAATCCAGCCAATGTGACCTTCCACCAGCAATCCAGCCAATGTGACCTTCCACCAGCAATCCAGCCAATGTGACCTTCCACCGGCAACATCCAGCCAATGTGACCTTCCACAGCAATCCAGCCAATGTGACCTTCCACCAGCAATCCAGCCAATGTGACCTTCCACCAGCAATCCAGCCAATGTGACCTTCCACCAGCAATCCAGCCAATGTGACCTTCCACCGGCAACATCAGCCAATGTGACCTTCCACCAGCAATCCAGCCAATGTGACCTTCCACCAGCAATCCAGCCAATGTGACCTTCCACCAGCAATCCAGCCAATGTGACCTTCCACCGGCAACATCCAGCCAATGTGACCTTCCACCAGCAATCCAGCCAATGTGACCTTCCACCGGCAACATCCAGCCAATGTGACCAATCCACCGACGGGAATGTCAAACAGGAAGTTCTTTTTGCTTTTATGTATCTAGCCTTTTCGTTTATATTCACATTTTGAAATCTAAATGAACTGCTAAATCTACCCAAATATAATGCTGGGGATTTTGGGGTTTTTTTCTCTTTTTCTTCTCATTCAGACATTTCTTTGATTGAATCATTGATGAGATGAGTTTCTGAAGCATGGCTTTTCCTCTGAAGGCTAAGAAAAGGAAGTGTTTTTAACCCTGAAAGGCTACCTTAGGAAGCATACTGTGGGTTGTGTGACTCAAGGTCTTAAAGACACAGAGCCTGTCACCCCCTCCACCGGCCCCCGGAGGCCTATCCTACCTGCTCTGCCATCACCTCCTCGGACCTGACCAGGAGGAAGAAGGCGGCTTCCTCTCCGGCACACGCCGCCCCGAGGAAGTCAGTCGCCTTCCTAGCTGTCAGTTGTAGAGACCCCCGTATCTACTGTGCACCCCCCACATGCCAAACCAGTCAGGCCCCACAGGAACCTAACGGCGACCACGTGGCTTCTGCCTTCTCAGACGACCGGGGATGAGAACAAGGTTACCAGAGGCTGAACGTGCTCAGGAGTCAAGGAGCAGAATCACCAGACCCACGGCCGTGCTCACGCGACTGAGTGGTACCCTTCCTGCTCCCTGCTGAGCCAGCTCCCCGCCACGGACCAGCAGGGGTGAAGCCAGCTGTCAGAGCCCTGTCCTCCGAATTCCCAGGTGTGGCAGCTGTGCCGTGGGGCACCGTTCCAACCGACCAGACACACAGCAGAACCCCGTGGGCTTCTAGGGGGGCTCCCGTCTGGTCGCAAGCTCAGGGGTCCCCTCCCCCTTTCCCGGGTGAATGTAGCCGTGATAGTTGAAGTGGGGACACTATCTGAGAGCCGCGTGATGGCAAAAGGAACTGCAGAGATGCCGACCCAGAGACCCCAGTGCCGAGCTAATGCCGGGAGCCGCCTGCTTCCGGCTTCTTCTTGTGTGAGAAACACAAAGCTTGTTACAGGCAACTGAATGCACCCCTCGCTGATCCCTGCGAGAGCTGTAAAACAGGTTTAAATACAAAAGCACCAAAATACATTCACAGGAAGGGAAGCGTTATAGGAATGGAAGAATCGGTCCCGTGCCTGTTTCCAGTTAGCTCCGCACACCCAGCTGGTCCAATTTCAGTTCCTCCCTCGGGTGCTGATTCATCAGCCCCTGAGACAGTGGTGCTGAAGTGTGGTCCCCAGGCTGGACTGAGGGCGAGACAGAGGTGCTGTTTGGAGGGAGGCCCTCCACAGGGCGGGGAGGGCCTGGCCTTAGGCACCCCACCGGCCTCTGCTCCAGGCCCCCAGCTCCTCCTGCATGCAGAACCCGGCAGATGCTCAGCCTCCCGGCTGAGAAGTTCCAAGGTTAGCCCCTCTGAAATCTGGTGAGAAGGCTTCTCCATCGTCCTAACTGCCCAGGGAAAAAGCCAGAGCTGGACCCAAATGTAATACAATTTCCAACAACTTTAAAAAAATCTTTTATAGACAGAGAAAGGGGAAGAGAGATAGAAACATGGATGTGAGAGAGAAACATCGATCGGCGGCCTCCTGCACGCCCCCTACTGGGGATGGAGCCCACAACCCGGGCAGGTGCCCTGACCGGGAATCGAACCAGCGACCTCTCAGTCCATGGGAGGATGCTCAATCCACTGAGCCACATCGGCCCTCAACAACCTTAAGAAAAAAACAGATAGCAAAGGCAATCCTCAAATGTGTACGGAACTGCCAGGGTCTCTGAATCACCAAAACAAGCTGCAGAAATTACGAAGTCGGACACTCGCACCCCCCAGTCTCCGGCGGCCCACGAGTGGACGGAGGCAAACAGCCCAGCACCGGCGCGACGGGAAGGAGGACGACGCGACGGTGCGGAGAGTGGGAGAAACCCGGCGCCGATGGGCCGACGTACTTCTGCCAGAGGCTCCAGGACTAGCCAGTGGGGAGAGACGGTCTCGTCCACGGATGTGGCCGGGATAGTGGGGCAGCCACGCAAGCGGCCGAGGTTGCACCCTCCTCACGCCAGCCACACAGATGAACTGAAGAGGGGTCAGACCTGAACATAACAGCTATACCCACAAGGATCTTAGAAGAACACATAGGGGTAAATCTTTACGACACTGGATTTGGCAGTGGATTCGTATATGACACCAAAGCGCGAGCCACGAAAGAAAGCACGGAGAGATTGGACTTAATTTAAACAAAAAGAAAGTGTGGGTGCTGAGGGGCAGGAAGGCAGGGTGCAGCGGCCCGGGTGCCGAGTCCTGACCTCACGCGGCTCCGCCCTCCACGCCAAATAAAAAAATTTTTTTAATGATAAAATGAAAAAATAATTATCCATCAAGGGACAAAAAGGCAACCTACAGAATGGGAAAAAATGTTTGCAAATCATGTCTCTGACAAGGGTCTAATATCCAGAGTAGCTAACAAACTTCTATAATTCAACAACAAAAAAGACAACCCAATTTTAAAAACAGCAAAAAAACTTGAATAGATATTTCTCCATCAAAGATACACAGATGGCCAACAAGCACACAGCAAGATGCGGCAACCACACTCCTCTCTCCCTCCACGCCCTCCCTCATGCAGGACAATTGCTATCATCTGTGCAGTGATCTCAGACAAACACCACCACGGTGGTACACCACCTCGTACCCCACAGGATGACTATAAAACAAAGTAAACGTGGAAATGAACAAGTGCTGGCAAGAACGTGGAGAAACTGAAGCCTTGGGCGTCATGGTTGGAAACGTCCAACAGTGGGGCCACTGTGGAAATCGGTTTGCTGGTCCCTCAAAAAGCTGAACATAGAATTACCATATGACTCAGCGACTCCACTCTTATAGCCAAAAGAATGGAAAGCAGAGGTTCAAGCACGTGGACACCCGTTCCCATTCCAGCATCATTCACGACAGCCAAAGGATGAAGCAACCCAGGGTCCCTCAACAGACAGACGGATAAACAAAGCATGGTGTACGGGCCGGTCGGACATCGGTGAGGCAGGAGAGAGCATGCAGCTCTCACATGCGACATACAGCTGGGGGGAGGGGGGGCACTCTGGTTTCTCTCCAGAGCACATAAATCTTTCGCCTGTTACTAAAGATTTCCATGGAGAGAGACCAAACAAAACAACAAGAGTGGCGGGCTTCTTCCTATGCTGACTCAGCGAGATTCTTGCTGTAACCAGGCTGTGCAGACTTGGCAGGGACAGGGACCACGGCCCGGGAGGGGGGGGGGGGGGGTCAAAAGGAGGGCTCAGAAGGTCCTGACTCACGTTTGGTTAGAGAGAGTGTCATTGTCATTAATCAGTGATATCACAGTTTGTCTTCTTGATCACTCAGTTTCATTCTGCTCTGAAGCACAGCTGTGCCCTCAACAACCATGAAGCTGTTTCTTTTCTTTTTTTTTTTATTCCTCACCCGAGGATATTTTTCTATTTTTCTATTCATCAGATAGAGTGGGAGAGAGGGAGAAAGAAAGAGAGCGTGGTCTGTGGGCCGACGCTCTAACTGCTGAGCCAAACTGACCGGGGCAAGGAGGTTGCTTCACATAGCCCCTGGAGCCCTGGCCAGTGTCGCTCAGTGGTTGGAGCGTCAGCCCATGGACCAATGAGGCCTGGGTTCGATTCCGGCCATGGGCATGTACCTCGGTTGTGGTTTGTCCCCGGCCTTGGTCGGGGTCGGTCGTATGGAGGCAACCAGTCGATGTGTCTCTTTTGCATGATGTTTCTCTCTTTCTCTCTCCCTCTCTCCCTACCTTCTAATCTGTCCAAAGATAAATAGAAAAATGTCCTCGGGGGAGGATTAAAAACAAAAACAAATAGCCCCTGGAGAAGGCTTCCCAAGTTCTTTTTTCTTTTTAATGTTTTTTATTGATTTTTTAGAGAGCGAGAAAGAGAAACATGGATGTGAGAAAGAAACATCGGCTGGTTGCCTCCCATACATGCCCCGACCAGGAATCGAACCTGCAATCTTTTTTTTGGTGCCTAGGATGACACTCAACCAACTGAGCCCCCCAGCCAGGGCATTTCCCAAGTTCTCCAGTCTAGCTCTAATCTTTCTGGTTGTCGCTCTCATTATTATTCTGTCAGCTGTCATTTTTGCCCTTCTAAATTCTCTCGGCTTCCAGCGAGCTGTTTCCGAGTCGCCGTGCACGAGGGAGCCCGACCGCTGGATCTGCAGGAAACACATCTGACTGGGACGCCAGAGTTCTGGCTGACCGTCCTGGGACAACTGGGGTCAGGTTCTCCTTGAAAAGCCTGACATGACTGCACATCTTCACTGTGATTTTTCTCCCTCTTTCTGAAGAAATAAAAGTGACAAGTCATATTAATATCAGTCTGTGTCATATTCAAAAACTAAGAATTGTGTGTCCCTCATCAGAGATGTACGTTGCGCAGCATGGCAAGGAAGCTTTTGCGAGAAATCTGTTCCAGGAACTGAAAGGGGCGGGCCCCTCAAGCCTGCCCCGGTCAGGAAGGGAGATGCGGGTGGATGTTGTCACTGTCAGTCACATTTGCCCCCAGAGAGAGGCCATGAAAGGTCCAACACTTCCTACTCTGGAGCGGACCCCAAGGGCAGGCTCCTTGCAAGTGGGGCACCCTGGCAGGCTCAGAGCCACAGAGACAGAGTCATCTCATCAAAGTACACACATCTGTAGGATTATATGTTAAAAATAAATAAATAAATGTATTCTGCTTTGGCCGGTTTGGCTCAGCGGTGAGAGCATTGGCCCTCAGACCAGAGAGGCCCGGGTTCGGTTCCTGCGAAGGGCATGTACCTCGGTTGCAGTTTGTCCCCAACCCCGGTTGGGGTCGTGTGGGTGGCAACCAGTCGATGTGTCTCTCTCACATCCATGTTTCTCTCTCTCTCTCTCTTCCCTCCTCTCTCCCTTCCGCTCTATCCAGAAAAAATAAAAAAATTAAAAAAATAAAAATAAATAAAATTTTTTTAAGTATTCTATTTTTTTAATTGAAATGATTCTTCTTTTTTTCCTTTCATTTTTTTTTTTTTACTTTTTAAAAATTAATTAATTTAGTTTTGTTACAGATATCTCCCCCCCCCCCCCCTTGACACCCTCCCCTTCCACCCCCTCCTCTGAGGTCTGTCAGTCTGAACCATATTACTTTCTATGTCTCTGGGTCTGTTTTGTTCATCAGCTCATTTTGTTCATTATATTCCACTAATAAGTGAGACCACGTGATACTGGTCTTTCTCCGATTGGCTGATTTTGCTCAGCATAGTCCTCTCCAGGTCCCTCCACGTCGTCTCAAATGGAATGATTTTTTTCTAACAAAAGTACAAAGTATGGAGAAGTAGTGTGTTTGAATCACTTCAGAGAGTGGAGAAAGGTCTGCGTCTTTAGCCCCTCGGAGCAGAGACGGTCAGAGTGAAGACAAGTGGCCGTCCAGGCTTCGGACGGGACACGCTCGTCACGGAACAGTGCAGTCATTTGGGTTTCTCCCCCGTGTTTTGAAAGTGTCACGAAAAACAAAGAGAATGAGAAAGGTGTTCACTAAGTTCGAAGCTGGTGGTTAGAAGATGGAAGAGACAGAAGGAGAAAGGGCCCGGGCGGGGAGGAGGTCAGGTGGACAGTCCCACGCCCGACGACACGGTCCGTGGTCTCCTCCCCGCGCCCAGCGCCGCTCCATCAGCCGAGCTTACCGTGTGTGGTCCTGCTCTGTCCTTCTGCACAATGACACAGGTCGCCCTGTATTTCAGTGGTTTTCCCAGCTCGGTGAGTTGGCTTCGAGTTTGTTCTGCCACATTGGTGGTCCACGGATCGGATCGCCACGTGGTACTCCCTACAGCCTCTGATCCGATGCTGCTCACTCATCCTCCCAGTGGATTCCGGCTGTGAACGAACAAGTGGAAAGCAAAACGACTCTCCGAGGGTTCTAAGCTCTGGTTGTTGGGAAACACTCACCCCATCACCGGGAAGGAGGCTCACAGTAGGGAGAATCCGCTCTGTTTGGATTGGCAGACAAGGTGCTGTTGAAATGTTTCCAAGGGGACACAGGGCCTCTGCTGAAACTGGGAGGGTGCAGAACAAAGGCCCCCATGAGGCCAGAGGCACTTCCCTGGGAACGGAGGGGCTCAACTCCCCATCACGGATTTTGTGCTCTGAGTCTCACTGACTGGTCACATTCCTGCTTTCTTCTGGGCTCCTGGGTGAATTCCAAATGGCTGAGCTCCCCGGGAATAGAGCTGCTTTATTTAAAAAAAAAAAAATCAGTCTGGCTGCTGTGGCTCAGTGCTTGAGGGACGACCCTGCACCAAGGTCGCCGGTTCGATTCCTGGTCAGGGCACATGCCCAGTTGTGGGCCCGATCCCCAGTGTGGGGGCGTGCAGGAGGCGGCTGATCGATGTTCTCTCTCATCAATGTTTCTGTCTCTCCCTTCCTCTCTCTAAAATCAATAAAAGAAAAAATAATCAATACAAATAATTTTTACTTAGAGATTGTTGCTTTGTCCTAACACATACTTTTGCCCTCGTACAGGACACCCTGTCTTTCACATGCAGGACAAGAGATTCCCTCTTTCCGGTGACTGGGGCCTCTGCTCTGTTTGTGAGGGTCTGGGGCCCGTCCTGCAGGGCTGCCCATGTCTCCACAGTAAGCTCCTGAATCTGGAAGGACTATGGCCTTCGATAATGTTAGGCGAGAAGTCTACAGTAAGAGTGTGTGTGTGTGTGTGTGTGTGTGTGTGTGTCTGAAGTTAAAATCCCACAAAATAATATTTACCTTTTGATTAATTGGCTAGAGTTGCCATAATCACGTCCCACAGAATGGGTGGCTGAGACAACAGAAATGTCTCAGTTTGGGAGGCCAGGAGTTAAGATCGGATGTTGCCAGGGTTGATTTCTCCAGAAACCTCTGTCTTTGGCTAAGTAACCAGTGGCCTCTTCCCCGCATCCCACGTGTCATCCGTCTGTGGGTCCTGATCTCCTCCTCTTTTTTTTTTATCCTTACCCGAGGACATCTTCCCATTTTTTGTTCAGATAGAGCGGGAGGGAGAGAGAGGAAGAGACGTGAAAGGGACACATCGAGTGGCTGCCACCCACACGACCGACCAGGGTCAGGAACAAACTGCAACGGAGGTACGTGCCCTTAGCGGGAACCGAACCCGGGTCTCTCTGGACCACAGGCCGACGCTCTAACCGCTGAGCGAAACTGGCCAGGGCTTGATCTCCTCCTCTTATAAGGACACCAGCATATTCCATTAGGACACATCGTCATGGCATCATTTCAACTTAATCTCCTCCTTAAAGACCTGATCTCCAAATACAGTCACCTTCTGAGGTGCTGGGGGTTAGGATTTTAACATGTGAATAGGTAGGGGGCATATTCACCCCACAACACTCCTCTGTGTGCATCTGAAACAGCCTGATATTTTCTACTTTGTTCTGTTTATTAAAAACACATACTGAGCCTGGCCAGTGTGGCTCAGGGGTTGAGCGTCGACCCTGCACCAAGAGGTCGCCGGTTCGATTCCCGGTCAGGGCACAGGCCCAGGTTGTGGGCCCGATCCCCAGTGGGGGGCGTGCAGGAGGCGGCCCATTGATGTTCTCTTTCATCGATGTTTCTATCTCTTTCTCCTTCTTCCTTCCTTTCTCTCTAAATTCAATAAAGCAAAAAAATTTTTTTAAGAAATAGGACAGTGACGTCTACTGCAGCGGCGGACGCCTCCCTTCGCACTCAGGTTCTCTGGAGCTTTCGCTGCGTCTGGTAGCATTTCACCCACGACAGAACTTTCAAAATCGGAGTCGGTCCTCGGAAACCCTGCTGCTGCTGTGTGGACGGAGGGGGTGTCCCGTTCTCATCCTTCGCGGTCACTTCAGCGTTGACAACGTCGTCGCCGGGAGCAGAGGCCACTCTGTCCTCTCTCCCCCGTCGTGGTGCCCGTGGTCAGCTCTTCCTCCCACGTCTTCCCACGAGACCTTCAGGATCAACAGGTTCCTGGCCACGAGCCAGAAGCAGAATCGGCCCATTTCGCGCCGATTCGGGTGAAAACTGGTAACACAGTCGGGTGCTCCGGGAGGAGACACTGGAGCAGAACCCAGCCGGTCGAAGGGGTCGAAGCTCACGGGTGTGTGTCTGCGTCGTGAGTGACTGAAAACACCCCCGCTGTCTGGGCAGTTGGGCATTTCAGCTGGGAATTACTGGAAGCAT